ATTGAACAGCTGCGGTAAATTTATTATGTGTAAATTGGAAAATGTATGATAATTTTTCCATACGATTGTAATTGTTCTTCCCATCGTCTCAATTGACGGATGACTCTTATAAATTTATGCTGTACAGATTTTAAAGAGCGATTTCTCTTTTTATCATTTACATTAGCTTCATTGTTAGTGTCATATTTTTCGCTAATATCCAATAACTCGCCTTTTACAAGAACTATCAAAGTGCACATTATCACTCAAACATTCATAAGTATTTAAATTATCTTCGCTCCATGCTTCCTCATCATCCTCAATTATTTCAAAAGTATGCAATTTATAAGGTTCTTGGAAATCGAGACACATTTCTTCTGTTATTTCCAATCCATTGTAATGAAAAATACTAATAATCTAATAAATATCTAACAATAATTTTTGGATGTTTTCTTTCAATTCTATTTTTGCTTAAATTATTGGCGTTTCCATAAGAACTATATCGAACTTATGGAGGTCAATAAAAGCCTGAGAAACATTAATTGGATTAAAAATCATTATTAATTTGTTCTTCTAAAAATATACGTTAAAGCACTTTAACTATTATACTATAACAAAGTGACTTTAGTGACTATAACTGCAAATCTGCTAGTATTTATACATTGGATTTATTGATACCTATCTTTAAGAATTTAGCATTTAAACTTAAAAAGTGTCAATTTGAAAGATATTCCGATACGAAAGATAAACAATAACATATTTTGTGATAATTTTATAATGATGAAATGGTTAATGAAATTATTATCACTTCTTATAACACAAACATTATTTTAAGAGTAATATTATTACTTAATTTTCACGTCTTTTGACGTGACTTCTCAAAACAATAGGAGTATTCTTTAGAATGGCTAAATAATATTAGGTGTACAAAAAAGTTCTGAGCTTTTTTTTGTAAAATTCAATCTTTATTCAAAAACAAACAAAAAAATATTAATCAGCGAAATATTCCCCGTTTGCATCAACGACCTTTTGTCATCTTTCGGGTAGCTTCCGAATTCCTTGACGATAGAAGCTCACCGGCTTCGAAGCGATAAAGTCATCAATGCATTTTCGTATCTCTTCAAATCTCACGAAATGTGTATCAGCCAAATGATGCTGCAGCGACCGGAATAGGTAATAATCGGAAGGCGCCATATCTGGCCTATACGCCGCGTGTGGGAGAAGTTCCCAGCCTAATGCAAAGATATGGTCCTGAGTCGCTTTCGCAACTAGTGGTCGAGCATTGTCATGAAGCAAGATCACTTTACGACGTCCTTGGCCAGTAAATGGCCTCTTTTCTTCTAATGCATCACTCAAATTGGTCAATTGTTGTTGGTAGCGGTCTGCCGTGATTGTTTCATCCGGTTGTAACAACTCGTGATACAACACATCTTTCCAATCTCACCAGATACAGAGCAAAACCTTCTTGGCGTGGATATTGGACTTTGGCGTCGATGTCGAAGGTTGACCAAGGTCAACCCATGATTTTCTACGTTTAGGGTTATCATAAAGAATCCACTTTTTCATCGCCTGTAATGATTTTGTGCAGAAAATCTTTTTTCCGGAACTTTGAAAACAAAGTGAGTGCAGTGTCACGCCGACGATTTTTGTTGTCTTCGGACAATTCATGCGGAACCCATCTGCCTTCCTTCTGAACCCTTTCCCATCATATGTAAACGTATGGAAATGGTTTGCTGCGTAACGCCAAGCTGTTCTGCAAGCTCCTTTTCAGTTTGTGCAGAGTTTATATCCAGCAGTGCTTGCAATTCGTCCGTTTCAATCTTTTGAGGGCGTCCAGCAAGCGATTCATCTTCAAGATTGAAATCTCCTTGGCGAAATTTTTGATACCATCTTTTACATATAGTATGACTTACAGCGTTCTCTCCCTTATGCAACACAAATCATTGCAGTAGCTTCAGCAGCATTTTTCTTCAGATGAAACGCGAAGTGGATGGAAAATCAAATATGCTCTTTTGTTATTGCCATCGTAAACATTACTGATTTTTGAGGTTATGTGCATCAAACGCCAAACCGTATGGCATTTTAGAAGGCCAAATGTCAACGCTTTAAAACCGCAAAAGGGCGGGAAGATATATAAAATTTAAATTGTTATTTCGGTTGTATGAAATTTAAAGCTCAGAAAGCTTTTTTGTACACCTAATATAGATCCGTGAACTTATATTATGTTTAATGAGAGTCATTTTTATTATGAAAATTGTTTATAAATTATTAAATATATATTTTGTTTATTTGTTTATGAATTTGTCAATAATTGTTTTAAATATGGGAAATATTTTTCTTATATATATATTATGGTTAATTAAGAAAGATAATAATAATAATGTCATTTCATTATTTATTCATTAAAAATGACTTAAAAATGACGATTAAATGACAATATATTTATGATAATATTTCGTGACAAATGTTACGTTTTTCAGTACACTGACGAAAAATGACCTTAAATCATCGTCTTGCTACTTACCTAGGATACATAGATTGTATACGAATAATCTTAGTATATTCGGTATGATCACAGTACATTCAGTATAAATACAGAATATTTGTATGATATCATGTGCTGCTAGGATATATTCGGTATATTCTGAAAATGGACTTAAAAATATACGAGAAATGATATACCATCAAGATGTCATATGAATATTCTCTAATATATTAGGCAATAGTATGTATGACCACAGTATTTTCAATACGAGTGTAGAATATTCGAATGATATCATGTGCTATTAGGTTATCACGCTTTCCATTATATTGTATTTAATACACATGTACAATACACTTAAATCAATGCACATGCAAAGTAAAAAATATCACTACCAAAATATGTTATTAGTTAGAGTGAGATGGTGAGATATTTTTTTCTCTTTCGTAGAATTTAGCCAAAACATGGCGGATCGGAGTCTCTTGTTGTACCTCGGATGGGCTACAAATACTTAATAGTCGGGTTCGCCAAGCCTAAGGAATTGGAACTCCGAGTAGGATCAAAAGAATGTAGGGTCCTCTTAAAATTACTAACGCACACTTGCTTTACTTTAATTGATTTATTTTAACAAATGCACAAATACTTGATATTATAATGATTATATTTTACACCCGATTACGCGTCGTCGGGCGGCTTGGCGCGTCTCGCATTACTCTGGCGGCCGACGACCGAGTGTGATCTGAGATGCTGATAATACGGCTCACGTGAACTTCGCAACGGGATTCCGTAATATCTTGCGCGACTTTTATAATATTGATTCCGCACGACTTATAATTTCGACTCCCACTATTTCGACTTGTGTAACCAATTATATAGATTGATCGATGCCCGATCAGCATTCCGATCGGTTGCGTCGATTGATTGCGTGATATTGATTGATCAATATCACGCTCGGTTCGATCATCAAATTTAGGAATTTGCTGATAGACTTTTCGCAATATTCTCGCGCGATGAGTTTCTGCGGTCTTTCGAAAGACTGATCGCAATTTCGGCGATCACACATTTGTGTCGTTTTTCGAAAGACTTTTTCCGAGATTCATGCGGACTACTTTTGTTGCTATGCGGACTACTTTTATTATTATTTTATTATTAGTTGTAGGTCTAGCTACAACATCCCCCTCCCCGTTAGAAAAAGAAAACTGAGGTACGAAATTTTCACTTTTACAAAAATTTCATCTCGATACATTTTTTTTGTTACAATTATTTGTTTAAAATCGCGTACTTTCTCTTCTTCTAACAGCGCGATCTATAGTACGTAGTTCACTATTCCTATTTAATTCTACTAGTATTTGTTTAGTAGTGTTCTGTTGTTTATTTTTTATTACAATTATTATTGTTATGATAGCGATGGTTATTATTAATGTGCTGCTTATTGATATAGGATATACAAAGTGTTTTTGTAAAAAGGGTGATATCTCGTTAGTGTTTATTTCATTATTCATTTTGTTTAATTTCTTTGTTAATTCTGTCAGGTCTGTTGGGTCTTGTATTACTTTTAATTTAATTTTTTCTACTTTGTTCGCCTTGAGAGTTTCGCTCAGTATGGTAATGTTATAATCTGATAGATAAATTTTTATTTCTTTTCCATGGTTGGTAATTTTTGATTTTATTATCGCGTCCGCTGTAACTATTTTACAATTATTTGATAATGTTATTTTTCCCGTATTTGTAATAGTTTTTCGCCTTTCTTTATTATTTTTACATGAGATTGTAATAGTTTGTTTCGCTGGTGTAGAATATAACCAAGAGTGTGAGTAGTTACTTAAGGCTATCCATATGCTATTTTTTATTGATAGGTATTTAATTTTACAATTTTTATAACGGTTATCAGTTTCTACATATATATCTATTTCGCATAGTGGGTCGGTCTTAACTTGCTAATTAGGAAAATTTGTTCGCATAAATAGTTTGTATTTATTTCCTTACATTGTCTTAACTTTTCGTGGGTCAGTCTTGCGTGTGTCTGTCAGTATCTAAGGCTATCAATGGATTATTTATTTCTATTAATGCGGACATGTTTTATTTGTGTGATCCGGTAGCGGTATTATGTTCAGTATTTCGTATATTGGAAGTGAAGTTAGCGGGAAATGTAGGATTGTATAAATAACGTCTGTTTTGTCGCAATATGCGCTCATCGTTACTTTTTCTATCGTCGTTCAATCCTCTTCTCTTATTTTAAATAGGAAATGTAATGATGCACATTCATTATGTGCTCTGTCATTTGTTGTTTGTTATGTAAGATATTTAATTGTTCGTTGATAGTTTTCTGTTATCATTGTCCATTATTCTAAATAATGTGTTGGCAACAGTCCAGTTTCCTATTCCATTTATCAGTCCTCGTTTCATTTTCGTTTATTTGGTGTCTTATACAGCGAGTTTATTCTTTTCGTTAAATGTTTTAAACGTTTTCGCTGGTAGTTATTTTTAATTATGTTATGATAGTTGTGACATGACTCTTTGTTCGTAAGTTGTAGCATAGTGCATACGTTTTGTGTTTTAAGAATGTATTCTTCTATTTGCTCTGCTCGTTTTTCGATTGGTGAAATATCTATTCTTATAACTATTTTCCAGCATGAGTCAATTACGTTCAGTTTTCCTATTTCTTCGAAGTATATTCTGGGGTGGTATTTGTTTTGAAGTTCACTACTTCAAATGATAATTTTTCTTCTCCTTCCATAACTCCATTGGTTATCCATATCTTTATTCTGCAATATTAAAATAAAATTTCTTATTTTTCATGAAGAGTTTGCGGTGTTCGAAATCGGCATTTCTTTTTCATCATATTCCCTGGCGTAATATTACTTTATTCTTATTTCGCTATCTTAGTTAAAAAAATTCTCCTTTGGACCTGTTGAGCTTGCTTTTTATAACGTTTATCATTTCTCCTGGTGTCTTTTTTATTATATCGGTGTTAGGTATTCCGTGTGAGTCTTCTAATATTTCATCCTTTTGCGATGAGCCTTCTGACTGTATCTGTTAGTTATCGAGACTTCATCGTCATAAGTTCTCGCGAAAATTTTAAGCGCGACGCGTTGCCGCCGGTGTTTGACGATGGTGCAGCGGCGGAAGCGTCGTCCGATGACGACGGGTTTGACGTCGACGAAATAGACGATGTTGACGTCGACGAGTTTATGGATAATCCTACCGTTCGGGTGCATTTCCGTCGCGTGCGAGAGTGGTTAAGCATTGTGAATCGTTTTTATAACGATGGTGTTTTCCACGTCGGCGAGGATTATATTTGGTTTGTTACCAATAATATTCCCGGTAGAGTTACGGAATTGCCATGGTCTGTGGAACTCAAGTTGCTTGTGTGCATGCCTGAGGCCGTTTTAGCTGACGTGGAGATGGATGCGGGGGATGACCCGGTGGATCATCCGTTGGAGGGTTTGCCAGCCGATTTGAACGAGGATGATGTGGGGGATAGCCCAACGGCCAATCCCGCAGGGGCGAGGGGCCGCTCTCCTGAGGCCTAGTCTCGTGTATGACTCGTGAGTAATGTAGTGTAGTTTGTAGTATACTTAGTTACTTAATTACTTGTGTAGTTGTTAGTCATTGTAGTTCATATAGTGTTGTTTTGGGGATTATTAACATACGGATTTGCTGAGATTCCTGTGTTAGTAAGTCCCACCAGTCCCAGTTTTTATTTTTATAATTTTAAATTTAGCTTTTATCTTATCTCTTTTTAATTTTCGACGAACGCTTTGATTCGGTTCGCGTGCACGTTTATTGTTTGGCGGCCCATTTTTATTTTATAATTTACATCGCCCGTTTTTTTTAAAATTACATAGGGTCCGATCCATGCGTCTAATTTTTTCGATCGCCCCCGTCGAATTGTTTCGTCGTGTAATAATACTTTGTCTCCTACTTCGAATGTGCGTATTTGTTTTTCTCGAAGTTTTCCTTTGCTTTTTATTTTTCCTCTTTGACGCTTTCTTTCGCTATTTGGTTCGCGGTTCATATCCTTTCGCGGAGTTCTTGTGTATAATCATCGTATGTGTACGATGGTTTAGGTGAGCTGGTTAGGTAGCGTACCTGTAGGTAGCAGTGCTTGGTGCCCGTAAACCAGTTCGAACGGCGTGAAACGTAGCGATGTGCGGTGTCGTATTATACGCAAACATCGCATACGGTATACATACGCATACATCCATTCATCCCAATCTGTCTGGTTGCGTTAATATAATATCGTAAATATTCAGTTAATGTCCGGTGTGATCTTTCAAGTGCTCCGTTTGTTTCCGGATGGTAGGCCGTTGTTTGCAATTTTTGTATTTTTAGCAATTTACATGTGTTTTTAAATAATTCGCTGATGAAATTTGTTCATTGGTCGGTCAGGATTTTATCTGAGATTCCATATTCTAATGTGATTTTATCACGAATTTTTTTGCTATTGTTGTCGCCTTTTGGTTTTGTACCGGTATTCCTTTGTTAAATTTTGTTAAGCTGTCTTGAAATGTCAGTATATATTTGTTTCTCATCGTTGTTATAGGCAATGGTCCTATGATCTAATGCGCATTTTTCAAATGGTTTTGTTGGCATATTTGTTAACATTAACGGTGCTTTAGCGCGTCGTTGCAATTTATTCTTCTGGCAATGTTCGCATTTTGAAATGTATTGTTTAACATCTCGTTTTAATCCTGGCCAGTTGTGGTAATCGTATTCTATTTATTGTCCATTCAACGCCCTGGTGTCCTCCTACAGGTGCGTTATGGTATTCGTATAATATTTGTTTTTTATCTTCTTTTTCGTATTGCTTTTCTGACGCGGCGTCGTCAATTTGTTGTTCTTCTGTTATTGCCGCCACGTTACGGCTTAATGCATCAGCGTTAGCGTTGACTTTCCCAGCTTTGTGTATTATTTCGTAATCATATTCTTCCAACGTTAATCTCCATCTGATTAAACGTGACCCGGGATCTGTTATGTTGAATAATCGTATTAACGGTTTATAGTCAGTAATTATTTTGAATTTTGTCCCGTATAAGTAAAGTCTGAAACGTTTTACTGTCCATACTATTGCGAGTAATTCTTTTTCAGTCGTATTATAATTCTGTTCCGCTCGTGATAATACACGGCTAGCATATGCGACGGGTCAGTCTTGACCTATCTCGCCTTGCGATAAAACAATCTCTTATTGCATAGTCCAATGCATCCATGATTAGGAGAAATTCTCTCATAAAGTCGGGATATTTCAATATCGGTGCCGTCGTTAATTTATTTTTTAGCGTGTCAAATGCATTTTGCTATGTTTCGGTCCATTCGAATTTTTCTCCCTTTTTTGTGAATTTTGTTAATGGTTTTGTAATTCGTGAGAAATCTTCGATAAATTTTTTGTAGTATCCGGCTAATCCAATAAATGATTGCACGTCTTTTATCTTTTTGAGCATAGGAAAGTTTTTTACGGCGTGCAATTTTGATAGATCTGGCGAAATTCCATTTTCAGTAATTATATATCCTAAATAGACTATTTCTTTTTGTAAGAATTCGCACTTGTATGGTTGGAGCTTTAGATTATTCTCTCTTAATCTTTGAAGAACTAATTTTAATCTTTTGTTGTTCTATAAGGTTAGGATCATATATTACAATGTCATCATATACTAGGTATTTAATTCCTTGCAGGTACATTTTTTAAACCAAATGGCATTCTATTAAATTCGTAATGACCGTATGGCGTAAAGAATGCAGTTTATTTTTATCGTGCTCCGCCATTGGTATCTGGTGGTAATCTGATGCGAGATCCAAATGTCGTGAAATATTTCACGTTGCCCAGCTGGTCAAGTATATCCGTTATGTTGGGCAACGGGAATGAATCTCCGATTGTGAGATCATTTAATTTTCTGAAATCTACTACAATTCGTAATTTTGTTTTTCCTGAGTGTCGGTCCACAATAGGTGATTTAAGCTTTAAGAAGTAAGAAATTGACCAATTATAATCGAATATGAAAAGAATAATCGACTATGATTGGTCAATTTCTTACGACTTAAAGATTAAATACTTATTGTGGACCGACACTGAAGCGTCTGTCTTTTTCGGCACGACTAATAGTGGTGCGTTCCATTGGCTGACGCTCGGTCTAATTTCCTACATTACCATTTCTTGAATTTGTTTGTTTACCTCGTCTTTATGCTTTTCAGGTAAACAGTAAGATCGTACGTTTACTGATGACGAATCTATTTGTACCGTTACTTCGTGCTTAATTTTTGTTGTGAATGTTAATGTATCTCCTTCTAGGTGAAACACGTCATTATACTCGTAACATAATTCTAGTACCGATTTTCGTTTTTCTGTATTTAAATGTTCTGTGCGTAAGGAATTGTTTATTTGCTCTTCTCGAGAGATTAATTTTGTATTTTTATTTTTTGTTTGTATTGCGTTCACAGATTCTTGTGCTATTTTTTCTTGTATATTTATCTCTTCTATTATAATATTATTTACGGTACCTGAACGATTTTTTCTTCTTTAGTAATATTTAGTATACTGATTGGACATGTGTAATTTTGCGGTTCGACTAGGCAACATCCAACAAAAATTCCAGGCATCATTTCCTCTGGTTTCGTCAATCCGATTATGTTTTGATTAATCGTGACTTGCACGATTGTTTCACTGCGCGGCCCTAAGGTTACGCGCCTGTATGGGTAAAGTTTGAAATTCGTATTTCTAAATTGCACCGAATTTGTTTTTGGATTGAACGCAGTTATATATTGCCAAATGAAATCTGCTCCTAGGATCGCGTCGTATTCCATTGGCGCGTTATCTCGCATTATATATACGGGGTGTCGTATCTTTTTTCGCGACAGTTGAACCGTAATATATGTTTTGCCCAATGTTATTATCTCATGTCCTGTTATGCCTGTTAGCTTAATTTTTTCCTCGTAGATTAGGGCGTGATTTATTAAATGTTTTAATTTTATTATTGTTGCTGATGCGCCCGTATCAAACAAGAAATTTATTTTTCTACCTTTGGTTTCTACAATCTATAATGTGATCGCGTTTAATCCGGTGTTGACGAGCGATGTCCCCTTGACGTGTGCCACGCGATACTCTGACGCGGGACACGGGACGGCCGGCTTTCGCCAGCTTCGCTCTTTTTATTTTTAAAGTTCTTCGCGATTTTCTTTTCGCAAATTCAAAAAAATTTTTTCAGAATTTTTACTGTTTTCTGATTTTCCGTTCAGTGTTCAACATTCTTGGCGCAAATATCCTATCTTTTTGCAATAGCTACACTGTTTTTCGATTGTATTTATTCGTGATTGTCCTTCCGGCTTAGGCAGGGTATATCTATTTGTGAAACGGTTAGTAGACTGCAATCGCGTCTATAATGACCGATTTTTTCGCATTTCTCGCAACGCGGACTTGGTGGATGCGCTTTAAATATTGGCCGATTTCGATAGGTTTGCGTTCGAGTGCTAGATTCTCGCGTTTTTTCTTCCACGATTGCTCCTGTGATCGCTTCCTATATTGTTTGGTATCGCTGCGATCGTACAATCAATTTAATCTCTTCGTGTAACCCGTTCTGGTAATTGTAAAACGCCTACTCTTTTATATTTTCTAAGATTGCACGTTGCTGCTCGACCGTATGGCTTTTGCCTTCTTCCGTGGATTCGTATAATTCCATGGCTATATTGTCTGTTCGTCTACCGAATTCTTGCGCACTCTCGTTTGGTTTTTGTTTGAGCGAATTAAACTCGAGTTGCAAATGTGTGATGCTTCGTTTGCTCAAATATTCCTTTTCCAATTCTCGTTTTAATTACTCGAAACTATATCTTGCGGAAATCCATGGCCTTGCCTTTGAATTTGGTGCAAAGAATGGCTTCTAATAAAGAGTTCATCCGCAGGATGTATATTTTTTATCGCGTACGTGCTTGTTTAGAAATTCGTACACGCGTCGTCGTGACGTACCGTCGATCTCTGAGATCATGTTACGCGCGTCTTTCAATGTTAGAAATGCCAGTGCGTTTCCCGGTTGGTTTCATATGTCCTGATATGAACGTCCATAAGTTAAATCTAACGGGTGCGGCAGAAAATCTTGCGATACTTTCATTCGTTCGCCCATAAATAATTGTGCCTGTCGGCTTAATCCGTTCACTTGTACACGGAGATCTCGTATTTCATCCATTAATTCACATGATATTTTCGGGCTGTGCGTCAATTGTGACGCGGCGGTTTGTTCAACTTTCTTGTGGTCCGTGTCAATCAACTGAATGTCGTAGTTGCAAGATTTCGTTGTTGAGTTCGTTCTATTGTTCGACGAGTGAGTGGGCTATTTCGTTTATTAGTAATTGATATATGTTAAAAGAGTTAAATATGCTTCCGTCTCGTAAATTTGTTTGTGTGTGTTTGCGTGCCTATACGTGTGTGTCAATGTGGGAGTCGGTGTCGTTTAATGCGAGCTATAATCTTTTTCGTCGTAAAACGAAAATTCGCGCTCGATTATAACGTAACGTCTTCGTCACTTTCGTATCTTAATACACGCACGTTATCGCATATTTCTTTTAACGTTTCTCGCGGTATTTATCGCGGAGATAGTGTGCGGAAATTCTACGGGGTTGTTTATTGGCCACGATTTTGGCCAAGTCGCATACGCTAGGCTATCCTTCGCTGCGGACATTCGTTTTACAAAATATGATTTTTCTTACATTAGACTTACATTAGAAGACAGATCGAATACGCTCGCATAGTCGCTGTTTGTGCTGGCGTGTCAGTTGGCTGCGCGTAGTAGTGCGTGTCGATGAAGCATCCTCGCTGCCTGGTGTCGGTGTACACGGTCGGCGCTGGCTGGCTCTCGGTGTTCGTAGACACTCCGGTCGTTGCTCCGCTGCCACTGGACACTCGTTGTCGTAGGTCGGCACTCTGCTGACTTTACACTACACTGACACAATTCCGTGGGCGGCTTATTTTTTGACGGGGCCTTTTCCATCCATCTGTTTTCTACAGGTCTTGTATTTTCGACTTATAGGAAATTTGATTTTTCTGCCTGCAGATTGTAATCTATTACTGCAGATCTTATTTGTTTTGTCCAAAAAATTTTTCTCCCTTCTTCTGCCCGTAATGCAGTGCGTCGGGACTTACTCTTTCGATTCTGCTAGCTTGATCAACGATGATTCTTTCAAGTTGTTGTTCTTGGGGGATGGTTTTGACTATCCCACCGCTGCCACCAAAATGTTGTACTCCGGATGGGTTACGACGTTAATATTCGGAATAGTCAGGTTCGCCAAACCTAAGGAGTTGGAACTCCGAGCAGGATCAAAGGAATGTAGGGATCCTCTTGAAATCACTAACATACACTTTCTTTACTTTAATTGATTTATTTTAACAAGTGCACAAATACTTGATATTATAATGATTATATATACACATGATTACGCGTCGTCGGGCGGCTTGGCGCATCTCGCCTTACTCTGGCGGCCGATGACCGAGTGTGACACCTGAGATGCTGATAATACGCGTGAACTTCGCGACGGGATTCCGTAATATCTTGCGCGACTTTTATAATATTGATTCCGCACGACTTATAATTTCGACTCCCGTTATTCCGACTTGTGTAACCGATTATATAGACTGATCGATGTCCGATCAGTTGCGATTGATTGCGTGATATTAATTGATCAATATCACGCTTAGTTCTATCATCAAATTTAGGAATTTGCTGATAGGGTTTTCGCAATATTCTCGCGCATTTCTGCGGTCTTTCGAAAGCCTTTTCGGCGATCACACATTTGTGTTGTCTTTCGAAAGACTTTTTTCGAGATTCATGCGGACTACTTTTGTTGCTATGCGGATTACTTTTATTATTAGTTGTAGGTCTGGCTACAACATTCTGATTGGCGGATCAGAGTCGTGGCCAATCTCTTATTGTCTCTAGTGCAATCCATACCCCAGCCAATCAGAGTCTACTAACATCATGTGACGAGTTGGCGAATCTCTTTTTATAAGGTCACTAATTTCAAGAATGGAGCTCCAGTAAGCCTATTCTCTAACTTCTTAACGACAATTTCACTAGCTAGGGATGTCGTTACGCAGATTTAACGACACTATAACGAAAAATGATATTCTGTAATTTAATGTAACGATAAATGTCGTTAAAAGTATCAATAAAGTACCGAATCTTGTTGTTAAGATATCGGATCCTTCAATAAACGACAATATGACAATTAATAACGACAATTGGACATATCAATCAATAGCAACGTTCCGAAGCGACTCCGAATAGTAGTACGGAAGTGTGCAAGTATAGGCTGCGTTAGGTCCGATATTCACTGCAAGTACTGAAAATCTATAATATGTGTGACCTGAACTATATATTTTCAATACTGGGGGTCAATCATGTAACTTTACGGGCCCCGCCGTGACGCACACCCTCCCTTCTTATTCGGGGGCTCGAGCCATGCTTGATGCAATCTCTCCTGTCGTGCTCCAGAAGGATTATTTGTATATTTGCCAATGGCGTTGGAGGGTGTCGCCGCTGCAGTCCGACCTGCATCCATCGAGAGAGTAGGACCATCATCTCTCTGGAGTACCAAGTAGCTCTTAGTGGAGTAGTGAAGTAGATTCTACCGCTCCTACTTGCGAGATGGTGCACATAAGAAACGTCAGTCTCGACACGAAGGGGTGAAGTGCATTCGGAGGGGGTGGGACCATCATCTCTCTGGAGTACCGGGTCGTGGGGGATTACGAAAAAGATACATGTATATATGTATATTGTAATATATATATATATGTGTCATTGTATTGTGACGTGTTATTCTAAAC